TAGTAGTCCCGAAAGGGAACTACAAAAGGAAGTCCATTCAGGGAATAATCCTCGAGAACATCCACGAAACACTTGGACACCTAGGATCCAAGAAAACAGTGGAAACCCTCTGTCGACACTTCTGGTGGAAGTCGATGAGAAAGGATACCCACAAGTTCTGCAGGTCTTGCGGAACTTGTCAAACGACAAAGAAAAGCACCAGGAGAAATCCTGGAATGCTTCACCCACTCCCGACCCCGGAGACACCATGGTCATCAATAGCCATGGACTTCACAGGTCCATTCCCAACAAGCTTGGGATATGATTACCTCTGGGTAATCATTTGTAGGTTGATGTCCAACATCCACCTAATTCCAATAAAGACAACAACAAACGCACTAGAACTAGCATTCGTATTTCTTCATGAAGTTGTAAGACCCCAAGGTCTACCACACTCGATCATATCAGATCGAGACTCAAAATTCACGTCAAAATTTTGGTGCGAACTACACCAAATACTCGGTGTACAGTTGAAATTCACAACTGCATTCCACCCACAAGGTGATGGCCAAGTGGAAAGAATGATACAAAAAGTAGTACAAATACTACGTGCGATGGTTAGACCGGACCAACGCGACTGGGCAGCAAAACTGTCGATGGCGGAATTCGCGATCAATGCGAGCTCGAACACATCGACAGGATTTGCCCCGTTCGAATTAATCTACGGCCATATGCCAAAGATGTGCCTAACAGCACCACTCTCGGACTACCCGGGAGTAAATGACTTCGCTCAAAAAGCGAAGGAAAACCTCATGGCAGCACATGATGCGATAATACACAATCGCGCTGCTCAAACAATCCAGGTGAATAAGAAAAGATGCCCGGACCCGCCTTTGAGAAAAGGCGAGCTTGCATACTTATCCACAGATAAGCTGAACCTACCCAAAGGCAGGACAGGAAAACTAAAGCCCTTATACATAGGGCCTTACGAAATTCTGGAAACGTTTCCAGAGACGTCAAACTACGTCCTCAAGTTGCCACCACAACTTGAACAACACGGAATCCACCCAAGATTCCATGTATCCCGGCTCATACCTCATGAGCCGAATGACCAGGAAATCTTCCCAAATAGGGAAGTAAACATATTCTACGATTTTGGGGAAGACCCCAATCGCGAAGCAGTAGTTCGCGAAATCCTAAACCATGCGTGGGTTCACAACGAACTCTGGTTTAAGGTCAAATGGGAACTAGGGGACACCACATGGGAACCCCTAGGAAATTGCAATGACCTCATCCACCTGGACGAGTACCTCACCTTACAAAATGTAAGGGAACCAGAAAAACTCCCTATCAAAGAAGACAGGGAACTCTCGGCATCACTACACCCCCAAAAACGGAGGTGGAGGAAGTAAAGCCAAGGGACAATGGCCCACAGCCAAGAGCGTGGGAAAGTTCTGGGCAAGTAACTCGCCCGGACAGCCACACCATGTACTAGAGATCACATGGGCTAGGCGAGTAACTCGCCTAGACCACGTGAACCACAGGCTCACGTGCAAAAGAACACACAACTGCGGCGAATCCCACACACGCAAGAACAAAAACCCCTCCCACCACCACGAGTAACATAACGATGAAATGTCGTTCTCTGGGGGAGGCAACCCTCGGTTTGATCCAAACAAACCACCGGATATCGAAATACGACAACCTGGGGAGCAAGGCTCCCCGGAACAACAACAACACCAGGCACAGATAAGTGCCATGGATTACACGACGCACGCAGCACAAATGAGTGCTGCGAACCAACAACCATCCTCGTTGCTAACAGGCACCGCATACCCCCAGCCTCCCCAAAGAGGCTTCCAACCATACGCGGTGCAAACTGCACCGATGGCGCAACAAGCGCCGTTCCAGGGGCAGCATTTGCTGCTGCAGCCCCAGGCATACTCCCCAGGGAACTTCCCAACCCCTGGATTAGCCAATTCGGCCCAGGTCCAACAACACCCCAGCCAAATGCAGGCTGGGAATCAGCCATCGTGTCAGCGGTAGCTGCTCAGACAGGTCAGCTCCGTGAGGAGCTGAAAGAGATGAAGTCCCTCGTAGGAGGGAGATGAGGGAGTGACAGCAGCTCCTCGTCCAGACCGTCCAAACGGGCACGGTCTGATAACTCGAGGGCGTCAGAAGATGCCTGCGACCATTGTGCCCACTGGAGGTGCGAATACAACAGAGCACGAAGAGATGCTGAGGGCATCTTTGACTCTCTGAAAGACACAGAGAGAGAAGTCGATCTCCAAAAAAGGGAGATCGAATTACTGAAACGCGAGCTCAGAGAGGCACGCACACTGGCAGACCTCGCTGCCAAACCCATCATGATGGGGGCCTCCCAGGTCAGGGGGAGGGGATACGGTTCCGGGCCTCATGAGGTGCGACCCCACATGGGGACTAGCGCATCAAGGGGTGGGGCACCGACTATCCCGCCACCCCATGGGCAGGCGACCCTGTCCAGGTTGCATAAGGGCCCGCCCTCAGAGGGGCAAACCCATGTCGAGGGGAAGAGGGAGAGCAGTAGGCAACCGACAGCAGACCCTAAAATGGGGACCACTGCCAGAGGCGGCAGGCTGCTGAGTACCTCAGCACCCTATGGGCAAGCTACCCTGCAGGGAAGTGTCCACATGCTATACGAGACCGCCGAACTCAACGAGTTCGGCAAAGTCGAAGCTCCAGTCGACATAACAATCGACCCCAACTTCCCCATGAGGAGAATAGCAGGGTCAGAAGCGGCGCATGACGCCGCATACGCTTGGTGGACAAGCGTGAGTGGGAAAGAATTCGTACACTGGTACGAACAGGCCGAAGCCACCTTCAAAAGCGGCAAGGTACACAGAATCCTTTGCGAAAAAGTGAAGGAAACCGAGAAATACTTCTTGGGACTCCCGAGTATCGCAAGACTCACAGAGGAATATAATTCCCCAGAGAATAAAGGAAAAATCTCCTGGGAAAGTCTAGGCAAAGCTGCCTACTTAAAGTCCCAGTTCAAACCACTCAGGACTCCTGAGGAATGTGCTGCAAGAACTGCGGAATGGGAAGCAAAAGCTTCCAAATACCGGGAAAGAGATGCAAGTCTCCATGCTGGACAACCAGCCCAATGACCACCCTTCCCCACGGGAAGAATGGTAGACCTACTGTACTCTACACCTGAGCCAAGCAGCTCAGGAACACAACAACCTGCTCCCACCCAGGGAGCACCCACTTCGTCGAGCCCACAGCCCGACAATGTAGCCCAGGCTACATCATCGCATCCGACGCAGCAATCGGATGTCCAGATGAACAACCTGGAGGAAAACCCTCCTCCGGGGCAATGACTCCACCCTTGAGAGAGGGGAAAGTGACATGGTAATATGCCATTGAGGTGCCCATGAAAACACCTTCCCCCAACTCGAGGCCCTGCACACAATACTGTATGTGAGGAACCGCAAGTAACAATTATGGAAATCTCCACTCCATCAAAAGACCCACATCCACCACCACTCGTGTGTAAACACCACTTACACACGAACCCTCACAGAACAAGTGAGGAACACCAAAGACATACAACCTTTGGGTCGAAATTCATTTTCGACAAACTCCACCATTTTTTTTTCTCTCCCTGCGATACCAATGTATCGCCGTTCACTTCAAAGTAACGGCCCACACTCATTCATTCCTTAAACCCCCTCTCTTTTCTTCACTGACATGTACAAAATCGCCCACTTTAAAGTGGTGACAACAAAACACTCATTGATAATTCCAAACTCAATGTAAATCAATTATTAAAACTCTGTTTTATTCACTATCAACCTTGTATGCATCGCAAATGCAACGCAAGGGGGGAGAATGTCAGGGCAATAGCCCCAAACCCCGAGCCACATGTAAATTAGATACATATAGTCACATGGGCAAGTGGGAACCTCCGGGTAACTGCTTACACACCACCATAAAATACACAAACTTGTATCACTTATGGCCTTGTGTGCTGAGCTACCCAAAGACCTCACACCAGATGAGCCCTAGGGCGTCTAAACAGATGCTGTGTGACCAAGGGACTTTTCCCATGGTTACAATGACTCGGAATCTGCATGACAACAATGGCCTACCCGAGTTTGTCCATGTCCCAGGTTCAGGGGATCCTGGAATATGGATGGCCACTATATACCCTGACCCAGAAAGTGAGGGATCCGCCTCATCACCGATGCGGATACCTTCCCATTTGAAAGAGAAATGGGTGAACAAGGATCATAACGAACCTGATCACTTTCTCAAGCCACGGAATCGACCTCCTGATGATGAGGCTAACAGGAGTGAGGGTTTACAGAAGACCATCATCGAAATGTTGGGGCAGGCAGTCATGACAGTTGTGGAACAACTGAACACATCTCATTTAAACTCTCTGTCAGAGACCGGGTTCAAGACGAGGGAATGTCTCCGTAACGGAGGGCTTCGGCCTCAGCGACTTCTGCCAAGAGCGCTGTGCCTAGTGACACATCCGTGCCCTAACTTACTGACTGGCAATTAGAACCTAGGGGGGTAACTCTAGTTGATTTTTCTACTGGGGCGTAACCTATGTACAAGTGGGATATATATACGGTTACAGCGGGGACGGTTCCGCAATTGGCGGAGCCGAACGGAGCGGAGCTAACGGGGTTTAAACATTAGCCGACTGAATATTACCGACGAGTCGGTTCGCAGGGTTAACGGAAAGGCAGGCGTTAACCCAGAAACAGAAAGGAGGGATAGGCCCGAAGGTGGGCTCTGCAGGGCAGGCGAGTGTATTGCCCAGCGGAGGCGGGGGTGCGCTAGCAGACGTCGGAGCTGTCCGGAAGTCTTCGGGGCTCCGTACTTAGGGAGGCGTAGGTAATAAATTGAAATGAGGGGGTGGTGACCATTGAGGGGTACCGAGAGGTTTGCGGAATACGAGGGCTCCGAGGTTGGTGAGGGAGGAGCGGAGTTAGAACGGAATAGTCGGAGGGACCGGAAGTCGATGGCCGGGGATGGATATGACACTCTCGAGAACCACCTGTGGTTTTCATTAGTTCATCAGATTCTGAAAATGCAGATGTTGAGGCAGGATTGCCTCGTATATCTCATTGTGGAACCGGTTCGGCCATTGTGGTCAACTGGTGAGGCAAAATCAAGAGGAAGCAAAGACACCTCTTTGCTACTCCTGCACCGAGTGAAGCATCCAAGGAATATAGGACATGAGTGGATGTGTCAGAGTCCACACATCAGTTTGTGTGTAAGGATCTGTTGAAATAACCACCTCAGCCTAACAGGGCATATGGTGTAATGGCTGTGCACACTGAGTTCACGATCCAGAGGACTGGAGTTCGATTCCCAGTATGTCCAACTTTTAGGTTTCCCTAAAAGACCATGTGCAAATTCCAACAGGATCTCCCTGGGAAACTAGTCATTGTAGAAGCTGGGGGGTCAACCCAGCTGGCGATAAGGCCTTATATACATGAGTTCCACAACTCATAAGAGCACAGCTACATTGGGAACACATGGTAGCCGATAGAGAAGCGACATGAGATAGGGGAATAGATCATGCGGATAAGGGGGCGATAACGGGTAAGGGATGACGTGATAGTGGAAATAGCACATTGAATACAGCCTGTGTTCTAACTATGGCAAATCACATGCAGATATCGACTTATGGGTACTCAACCTATCTGGATAGGGGTCCGGGCCGGCCGGATAACTGTCTGTGCCCTGACAGGATGACAATGCGGCATATGTCTATATGCCACACAGTCTTGAATCAGAACGCTGAGGCCATGCTTGAGAACTGCAGAGTAGGTTAAATACCTATGGGCGGTTCAGGGCACAAGTGTCTCCTGGTGGTGGTGACAGCGACGTGGCCACCTTAATTGGCCTAGTAAACAACATGAATGAGAGCAGGAGCTGAGATGAGAAGTTTTGACTCCCCAGCCTACCATTCATCATATGCTGGGTCCTCAGGTTGAGGCCCTGATAAACCTAATTTCTCCCATGAAAAGAGAGTTCAGCAACAATCTGAACCCTCTTCGGGCAATGAGCTCAATTGTTCCGAGGATGGCAAGTGCTGCCAACCCAAATGATGGGTTCATCAAAACTACTCTTAGGTCCTATTCCAGGGACCCTAACAGTATGACCCCTGGAGACCCGGAGGGTTTCATGGGTGATCTTGTAAGAAGGGTATCGAACCTTGTAAAGGCTCGTATCCTAACACCTCTCCCAGCTGACGTAAAACCAGAGTTACTGAAAAAGAACTCTGTGCCATTCCCCACCACTTTGTGGTCTGGGGAAAATGATCTCGAAAAATTTGAGAACTGGCTGGTGGAGCTCACTTCCTGGATATCAGGAAATGGGTGGAAAGGCACAAGCTATAACGAGCTTCATATAGATGCTCTAGCTCGCGCCTTAGATGGTGACCCCAAACAAATCATGCTTCATGATATGAAGCAAGGTTTTGAGGAGGGGTCGACCCCTACCTTCATTCAGCTGTTAAACAAGCTGATGTTAACATACGTGAAGAGATCGGCAGCAGTTCCTGCCACCAAACTCTTCAAAACCCTTGCATATGATTCCTCCAAAGGAATAAAGCACTTCTATACTCAGCTTCTCTGAGCATTGGAGAAGATGATAACTCGCCCTGACCAGGTTAGTTTCAATGAGCGTTTCTTGAACACTCTACCTTTATACATGAAGGAAGAGCTACTAATGCATGACCAAATTTCAGTCAATTTCTTGTCCAAAGATGACCTTTGGACTGCAGTATTATGTGTAGACCATGCGTATGATTCCATGCATGCCATCAACGCATATAGGGGAGGACTGACACCCTCCAAATTCACAAATCCCTCAAAAATAAAATCGAGTGGCTCTCACAGTGCTGCCCCTTCAACAAAAGGGGTGGCGACCTCCACTTCAAGGGTAACTACAACACGTAGTTTCCCTCCATCTTTAGCCTATAGTGCTAAGAAAACACAGGTGGTGACGAAACCTTCAGTGGCTTCATCATCAAGAACCCAGACTGAGGCACCTACCCAGGTGCCTCCTCCAAATAATAACCGGTATGCTTCGAATACCGGATCTTCCAGTTATCAACATCGTCCCTCGAAGGATGCAAAGGGTAACCCACTTTGCTACAAATGTGGCAAAGTCGGGTATTCATTCCAATGCCCAAATCACCCACCTAGAGCCAAACTTTTCGCTCTGGGGATTGATGAAGGCACGGATGACGACACCGCAGCAACAGAAGCTGGGGTGGAAGAAGAAGAGCCATCTGGGGAGTCTCCAGATGACCCAGTGGCTGCTATCGATGAAGGGGATGACCACTGTGAAAATACTAGCATAGTTTAACTCAGTCTCAAGCTGAATAGCATGGAGAACTTGTTAACATTACCTAGTGTAGTTTAACACACATTTAGATATGAAGGGAAATTAGAATGAAAGAAAGTACTGACCTCAGTCTCAAGCTGAATAGCGTGGAGAACTGAGGAAAAAGGAAATGAATAGAAAGAGCGGGTATGTCCATATAGTCGGTAGCGGATAATTCCGCAATAATAGAAAAGGGAAAAGTATTCATTTACAGGTCAGGTGAAAGTCACCTGGTCAGAAACCTCCGGAATGCATGCTGCACTCCAACAACCACCTCATCGATGATCCATATGAACACCCTGATCCTCAGGATGAGTTAGAAAGTGAGCCTGAAGGTGAGGTCGCCTTTGGGCATGTGGGTCAATGAGGGATGACATTTGTGGACCCATCTGAGGACAATTATGCCCTAAAACTCGCTTCGGCTCAGAGAGTGGAGAAACTCCTGAGTGAAGAAGAAATCTACACTGAACTGGTTGACGAACCCGTTCGTCGATTCAAGACTGAGGGCCAGTTACCCCCTTGCAAGCAGGAAACTGAAACGGTTCCTGCTAAAATTTCAAAAAAAAACCCGCCCATGTTTGACGCAAAGTTTAGACTATCGTGAGAGGTGGGTAAATACCCTACAGATCGGAGTGCAGACTTGTGCCGCATTCTGACTGGTCTCGTTGAAATCAATGGGACCAGAGCATTCACCCTGTTTGATAGTGGAGCAGAGACGGATGCACTGTCCCCTGACTTTGTCAGGGCATGCCACATCCCTCTGCTGGAGCTACCAAACCCTTTGGTACTCCAAATGGGTACCAAAGGGAGTCGTTCCTGCATTTACTATGGAACGAATGTTGACCTGAAGATATTAGGTCAGAATAAGAAGCACTGTTTCGATGTTGTAAACATCGAAAGGTATGATGCTATATTAGGTGCTCCATGGTTGAACACGAATAAGGTGATGCTTAACTTTGGCAAGCACATCATCCACATCCATGGAGGCCAACTCCCTTCATTTGACGTTCCTTTATCTCGACTGGGTGCCAGGCCTGCTGACACAATTCAAGCCTAGTTAAGAAGGCTTCACCCTCAAATAATTGGGCATCCAAATTGCCAAGCACACAGCAATTGTGACTTGGTAAGGCAAAGCCAACTTCGCTGCCCGATCACCCCTCTAGGGAGGAGCCCAACCCTCATAGTATAGCCACTATGAGGGGATCTTCTTACGTGTCGTCTGTACAGGATGTTATTTTTGCGGCATTGTAGCCCGATCCTCTGAGCACGATATCACAGTGTCATTAGATGTTATCCTAGATAAAGTACATGATGGAGCACACTTATATACATTTCTGTGTGGTGCAAAGGAACAAAGGCCAAAGCGTTAAAGCAATAAAACTTCCCATAAAAGGGAACAATAACCGTGGCAACAAAGGGCATCGGAATGCCACTTCAACACAGGATGCCACATAATTTTCCAGAACACTGGCCTGACCCAAAGTCAGGACAATTACCTGATTGTTCTCATCTGGAACATCGCCCAATGACGGACGATGGTTTCATTCCCCTCTGCAATTGGTGGAGGATGTGTTTTGAAGACATCATGGCACCTGCACCTGAGGTCTTGCCTCCTTTCTGTGAAGTTAACCATAGGATCGATCTTATCGATCCCATGAAGCGGTACAATGAGTGGCACGCTATGTGTCCTCAGGCTCTCGAGCAACAGCTATGAGAGAAGGCTCTTCAGGACGAGCATGCTGGGTGGTGGGTTAGATGTCCCGCTGCCATGGCATGCCCATTGCTCTGCCTTGCAAAGAAGGACAGCTCTCTAAGAACTGTCATAGACATGAGGAATCGTAATGTGGATACGATCCTCGATGTCACACCGATGCCGGACATGAGATCCATAATGGACAGTCTGGCAAGGAACTCATATCGATCGAAAATCGATATGACCAATGCATATGGGCAAATACGTGTGGAACTTGACTGTGTTCCACACACTGCATTTGCCACTCCATGGGGCACGTACATCTCAAACGTGCTGCAGCAAGGGGACTGTTACAGGAATGGGTTCCGGGGAACCTAAC